AAACATCACAGTTACAATACAACAACTCAAAAAGTGTGTACAAGGTCTTTCTTAATCATGTTTGTGAAAGTCTTACTACTTACATTGTACGGTAGGAAGGACACAGTACTTTCTTCCTCGTACTGTCTGTTGTTTTTGTTGTTCCGTTCTCCTCCGGGGATCTACTTCTGATTAATGGAAGCCCGTAACTCTCTAGAAGCTTCTTGAAAAGATCAGCGTCTCCTCTAAAGACGTCCAAGTATATTGGTATCAAGTCGCAGATGGGATCTCCTGCAATTTCCTTACTCTTTCAGAAAAGTCTCTAAAACTCCGGCATTTAGATTTCTGAAGAGATCTTTTAAATAAAACGTACCTATGGATAAATCGCTAAAGTCGAGAATATGACTGGGACGCCATAAATTGTGTTGACCATCAACTGAATCATCTGAATATGGTTCCATGTGAATGTTGTCATCCATGACGTCTGAGTGTATCCAGGTGCAGGGTTTGCTTTCGTCTCCACCATTTGGGTCCTGTGATCCCAGAAACAGGTTATGTTAATTCGATTGCAAAGAGGTATAGGTTCCTGAAAAATGAGAGGTAAGTATAGCAACCTTGAAAACGTTGAGTAAATCTACAAAAAAGTCATCAGGAATGTATTCGTCTATTTTGGTCATCAGAGCACGAGGTATAGGATTTCCCCTGAGAGGTTCAAACAAAACAATCACCATGAGTAAGCTTTCATCAAGAGCAAAGCAAATGGAAACAGAGTCTATGAACAGCTTCTACAAATGTATATTTCGGAAAACTTCAAGCTTACCAGTTTTCCAGACGACTAGTGACGTCTTTCTTCTTTTGGCACAGAGCATCGACGAAAACTTTCCATTCTGCTGGAATGTTCAACTCCTCATGAACAGCATTCATATTCAACAACTCCGGACGTGTGACTGGTGGATATGGAAGTAGATGAAGGTTGCGTAGTTGTTGTCCCAGAAAGGAAGCCAAGTTCTGAGCATCGTTCCACGTTAGATCATCTCTTCTGCAACAACAGTTTCAAATTAGAGATCATACATTTGGTTTTAAAGATGAGTCATGCGTAGAGAAAAAAGGAGGAGGAAAAGAACACTCACAGTTGGGCGAAAATCTTCCCTTTGCATCTTTTGGTTATAATATACGGCCAAACATGTGAACTCAATGAACCGAAAGAATCGGGTGCTGGCTTCCCCTGGTTTCTATGTTCACGTAGTGTTTTGTTCCAAATACCAAATGGGAATTCGCTGTTCAACATGGATGCATCAAAATCGAAATTGGAGCTAGAGATAATGTCTGGGATTCTCTTGCCATCCCAGGGGACAACTTTGTAAGATCCTTTTTCGAAGAAAAGAATCCCGCTTTCTAGAACTTCAGGAATATGTGTTTTCAAAGGAGAATCAGCCCGGCCAAGAATGTCATAAAACTCAAGCTGCACAAAAGAAGACATAGAGTTAAAATCATATAAATTGCACATGGGATGCCAAAGTATTGTATAAAAATTACTTGCCTCAGTTCCAAGACCGTACATAGATTGTTCTAGCCCTCCTTCAACAAACAGTTTGATCGCATAGTCCGACAACAGATAAACCTAACAAAAAAATAAGAGAAGTCAGGGCATATCGGTAAAATAATTAGGAATGTGAAGAACTTTTCTGCCAAAGATTCCTAAAAGAGACAATAAACTCACAGGGTTGCTGCCAGTTCCAACTGGAAGCTTTTCATCTTCGGTAACCAACGGCAAGTTGTGGAAAGTACATACTTCCTCTAGGCATCGCAACCATTTCTCAGCATTTAAAGCAATGCATGCTCCCTAACACGGAAACCAAAGAGAAAGCACTAAGAATTGATAATGGAGAGATGCTTATAATGCAGTAAAGCAAAATATCAAAGAGTAGGCATTACCTTCCATATTAGTTCTCTCATCTCAGGCTTCAAAGCCCAAAGCTTGGATAGCCAGGCTCTCATTTCTCGTTGACCTACAGAGTTCCCCATTGACCATGGGAAATTATAATGGTCTCTTTCTTTATCAAGAAATGAAGCCAGGAAATCAATATTATACGAGAATCCATTTTTCCACATATTGTATCTCTTTAATACTCCATTAGCATCCTCTTCTTGGTTTTCAGTCTCTCCCCCTCCATTCATCCGTATCCTCTTCTCTTTCCTGGTAAGGTCTGAGTAGCTTAAAGTATTGTCGTCCTCATCATGTGTATCATTTTCCAAATCTTCAGAATTTTCATCATCGAGAGCAAGAAGCCCAGCACGGCAAACCCCTTTGTGATGGTAACCAGGCGCCATATCCAAACACACGAACCCAAAATTTTCTTTGTTCACAAAATTCTGGGTAACAGCTACTGTTGGTTCAAGATTAAGGATACAGTGCCACCAACCACTTGGAACATAAATCGTTTCACCAGCTAGTAGTGTGCACTCAATTGGTTTGTCTTCGTCCGCAAGGAGGGGATAATAGTCTAGCCACCACTGTCCATGGATCGAAAACATTCAACGGGATACAGTAAAGAAGAATTGAAATGCCGATGCTTGAACAGTTCAGATATATACCTGCAGAGATGAGGGGGTGTCGATGCTGACATCACCGTCATCTTCATTTACATGAACTGTAACACCTAAAGGCACTTTTCCAGGGGGATACAATGCCCACCTAAAACATAATGGCATCATCCTCAGAATATAGTATCACCTAATTCCAGTGAAGCAATGGAGAAAGGACGAATAATATTGCAGGGAACAAGAGCTTAGAGCAGGAAAGAGTAAGAGACATAAAAGTACTACAAATGTCCAACAAATTGAGGTCAAGAAGTGTAGAAACTACCGAGCTTGATCAGAGTACCTTACCAACCCAATCTTATGAGATCTGATCGCTAAAACGGCAACTATCCCTATGAGTTAAATTTATGATCACTAATAAAATGAAAATTTTGATTTAAGTTCATACAGCAAGCTTGGAATGCCAGTAATCAGTTCTATATTGTTGTCCTAACTTGGATGTGAGGGACAATATATCAGTATCCTAACAATTAGTAAGTCAAATACTTAGTTCAAGCACAAAAAGACGTCTACCTTTTCCGACCGCAAAGCAGGGTGTTCCAGGCGCTGGTAAGAGCTGGATCGACATGCCAAGATGCACCAGACCTCTCCGGACCGACTATAAGCCATCTGTACGGAGGACGACTTTCCTTGTCTAAGATCTCAAACCAATCTTCTTGAAACAAATGGGGCACACTATAGTCTTTCAATAATTCTGGAGCAGCTTCTCCAAACTACATGAAATGTGAATCCTTCAAATATTCTCACTACAACGTTTCGGTTCTGCTGCAACTCTATCACTGATATGAATGAAGTCTAATGTAAAAAAAAAAATTGTTTATCGTACCTTGTCATCGAAAACGTATAGAGGATCTTCATCCCGCTGGGTTTTCATATACGAGATGTAATCCTTGAAGTTCATAGAAATTTTGTTGGGACTCCTCTGAGATATTCTAAAAGGGACTTCACCATATTTCTCTGAGAGTTGGTCGATTGTCCACGTTTTACTGGCTGGCCAAGAATCAGCAAGTCCAGAAAGCAAAACCTAAACCATAGACAGGAACAACAACACAAAAAATCACATGTCTGAAAAAGTGTAACAGATCAAAATAAACCTTGCATATATATACATGAATGAAAAGATTAAAGATTGGAACTTACAGGTTTCTTGGCGTCATATTCCTTGGAAAACTCATCCAAGGAGATATCTCTCCTACGTTCCACATTCCCATTATCAAAAGAGAACCCGTCAAGAGATGTATTACACCTATAGAATCGTTTATACAAGTACAGCGACATGAATCCTGCAAAAGAGCAGAGTAAGTGAGCAGAAAAAAACGAGAGAACCAAAACGATCATATCATAAGAGTATGGAATAAACCAAGACGTCAGATGATCATCCTGAAACAACGAGTAAACTTTGCATTTACCATCAAAATGAAAAGGTTTTCTATATGCGACATTTTCTTGAGCAACTCCTTCTCTGTATATCAGAAAACCAATCAGTCATATATCTGAAGACAATTCGTATGTATCATTGAACATAAAACAAGAGGTAATTTCAAACTACTTACAGATGCAATGTGGTTTTTTTCCAAGAACCTTTGTATTCAAGAGGACCTTTTGCTCTTCTGAGACATAAGCTCATCCATAATGGTTCTTCATTACATAGAATATACATGACACTGTACATCAAACATATGAAATAATCACAAATCCTAATCTGTTCATAATAAGATCAAAATCCTGACTTGCTAAGCATTCGAATTGATCTAATTTTGATCAGTTCTTTGATTTTAATTCGATCAGTAAATCAAGAGAATTTAGATTACCTGCTGACACAAGCGAGGTTAGCAATATCTCGGGGAGCAAGGTATTCGAGAAGAACACAGATGGTCTCATCTGGTAGAACACTGAGACTACCGAGAGCCTCTGGTCGGCGATCTCTTTGTCCTAACGTCGTCATTGGCTACAAGCTTCTATGGAAATTTCGAATTCTCTCTGGGATCTGATTGCTTTTTTCTTCTTCCTGGAATTTTGAAACACTCAGCTTTTTCTCCACGCGGTGGCGCGTGATGATCCGAGACCGAGTGCGCGTAAATGCCTTGGCGCACGTTGTACGCGTTAAGTTAACGATATCGAATTAAGTTACGGCGTCGTTTTAATGATCGAATCTGATAAGAAGGCAACATCGCGTTTAGATAACGCAGATCGTTTATAAAGGGATAAAACGCGGAAACGCAAAACTCGAGAACCTTAAAAAATAAACGACGACGTTTCGCAAAGAACTAAAAACGACGCTTAGTCTTTCAGTTATGGGCCTTATGGGCTGCTATTTAGAATAAAAAACTAGACTAAAATAACTAGACCAAGTATCAAGCCTCATCCAAAACTATACCAATAGGTTTTAAAGTTTCACTTTCACTCTCTTTTCTGCGTTTCACTCTCTTTTCTGCTATTCATATACACTATCAATCACGGGACGAAGCGATACACCGGACGTTGCAGAATCAATCATCATCATTATCGTCAAAAGAATGGAACAACATGGCGGTTCTAGCTCACAGAAACGTCACGCAGTGTGCATACCTTATCCAGCACAAGGCCACATCAACCCAATGCTGAAACTAGCCAAGCTCCTCCACGCCAGAGGCTTCCACGTCACTTTCGTCAACACCGACTACAACCACCGCCGTATCCTCCGATCACGTGGCCCTCACGCTCTCGAAGGTCTCCCCTCGTTTCGCTTCGAAACTATCCCTGATGGTCTTCCTTGGACCGAAGTCGACGCTAAGCAAGATATGCTCAAGCTTATTGACTCTACAATTAACAACTGTTTAGCTCCATTTAAAGAACTCATCCTCCGGTTAAACTCCGGTTCTGATATACCACCGGTTCGTTGTATCGTCTCTGACGCTTCAATGAGCTTCACAATTGACGCGGCGGAGGAGCTTAAAATTCCGGTGGTTCTCCTCTGGACAAACAGTGCTACTGCTTTAATCTTGTATCTCCATTATCAAAAACTCATCGAGAAAGAGATAATTCCTCTCAAAGGTATGTATGTATGATCGATTCAATCATCTGAAAAAATTTCAGTAACAATTTCGAATTTCCAACAGATTCGAGTGACTTGAAGAAGCATTTAGAGACGGAGATTGATTGGATACCGTCGATGAAGAAGATTAAGCTTAAGGATTTTCCAGATTTCGTCACCACGACGGATGCTCAAGATCCGATGATTAGTTTCATTCTCCATGTAACTGGAAGAATCAAACGAGCTTCTGCGATCTTCATCAACACTTTCGATAACCTCGAGCATAACGTTCTCTTATCTCTGCGTTCTCTTCTTCCTCAGATCTACTTCGTTGGACCGCTCCAGATTCTGGAGAATCGCGAAATCGATAAGAACAGCGAAATCGGAAGATTGGGATCGAATCTATGGGAAGAAGAGACGGAATCTTTGGATTGGCTTGACACAAAGGCTGAGAAAACTGTGCTTTACGTTAACTTTGGGAGTCTAACGATTTTGACGAGAGATCAGATCTTAGAGTTTGCTTGGGGTTTAGCGAGGAGCGGGAAAGAGTTTCTTTGGGTGGTGAGATCTGGTATGGTCGACGGAGATGATTCGATTCTTCCGGCGTAGTTTTTATCGGAGACGGAGAATCGAGGATTGTTGATCAGAGGATGGTGTTCTCAAGAGAAGGTACTTTCGCATCCGGCGATCGGAGGATTTTTGACTCACTGTGGTTGGAATTCGACGTTGGAGAGTTTGTTCGCCGGTGTTCCGATGATCTGTTGGCCGTTCTTCGCCGATCAGTTGACGAATCGAAAGTTGTGCTGCGATAATTGGGGGATTGGGATTGAGATCGGCGAGGAGGTAAAGAGGGAGAGAGTGGAGGCGGTGGTCAAAGATCTCATGGACGGAGAGAAGGGAATGAGATTAAGAGAGAAGGTGGTGGAGTGGCGGTGCATGGCGGAAGAAGCTTCGGCGCCACCGTTGGGATCATCGTACGCGAATTTTGAAACGGTGGTAAACAAAGTCCTAACAGGTCACGATTAGATCGACCTAATTGGGCTTTACGTATCCAAAGGCCCATTAGAAGTGTTCCCAATATCATTTGGGCTGGCTTTAATCACAATTTTAAATGTATTTGCAAGTTGCAATTATCTATATATAGTTATTATATACAGTAGATCAGTGGTGTCTTCTCACTTTGGATCATATAATTATTATGTGTATATCCATATTGAAACTCCCAAGAAAATAAGAGGATATAAAGGATCATATAGCATAAAGTAGAAATTATTAGATATAAAATAAATGAGTAAACAAAGAATATGAAGAACTCAAATTTATATATATATTTCGTCAGAAAAAGAGCAAAATATGACAAGAGATTTCCCTTTAGCCGTCTTTTAGGTTTGACAGTCTTGAGACTTGAGTCTGTATTCTTGGGGCTCAAGTCATTACTCTTGTTGAGAAAAAATGAATTAGCTGGGTTCTTTCAGAGAGAGAGAGAGAGATAAAAATGTGAAGATTGTACAAATTGGGAGATGAAAGAAAGATCAAGAAGAAATAGGTTCTTTGGTGTTGATGGTTGTAATTTCAGGAGCAGTCGTTGCTTCGCCTTCTGTAGCTGGTATTTGTTGTGGTACTGCTTCAGAATCTGGAGGAAACAAAAAAAAAACATATAAAATCAGACAATAGTTCATACTAATGTTGCAACTTAATCTGATTTAGATGAATAATGATAACGGATATTAGGATGATACTGAAAATGGTAACAAAAACCAAATGCAATGTCAATATGTTAGATAGGCCTGGGCAAAATACCCGGAACCGAATACCCGAACCGAAAAACCCGAACAATACCCGAACCGAACCCGAATCCGATTTTTAAAAATACCCGAATGGGTCCTAACCTCCTACCCGAAAAAAACCCGAACCGAACCCGAACCGAATCCAATACCCGAATGTACCCGAATGTACCCGAATACAAATATACACCTAAAAATATTAGTTATTTTTATATTTATAATACCCGAAATACCTAAAATTACAATCATAAATCCGAATATATTAGGTATTTTAGATAAAAATGTGAAGATTGTACAAATTGGGAGATGAAAGAAAGATCAAGAAGAAATAGGTTCTTTGGTGTTGATGGTTGTAATTTCAGAACCCGAAAATATTCCGGGTATTTTTGGTTATTTTCGGGTATTTTGCTTTTTTATTAAAATACCCGAACCGACCCGAACCCGAACCGAACCCGAACCGAAATTTTAGAATATCCGAATGGGTCTTGACCCCCTACCCGAATAGACCCGATACCCGAAAAAAAAGAACCGAACCCGAACGGGTACCCGAATGCCCAGGCCTAATGTTAGATTTAGACACACACAAAAGGGTCCAAAACGAATATGCATATATACAAACATAAATATACGTTCGGGTAGATGTTGTCAGTGTATGGTGGCTTCACTGGCATGACGATTGGCGACCAAATTGACAGATGATAGAAGAGACACATATACCAATGTAATTGAAACAGACAGCTCACTCCACATGCTATCCTTTATTCACTGTTCTCTCCAATCATTCACTCTCCTTTTCTTTTCCATTTCAAACCCAAATCCCTTTTTTTTTTTTTTTTGCTTAGAGTGCATCAAATATGGAGTATGTTTCTTTTTCGAGTTTAAGACAGCATAAAGGATCAATTACGTGCATGAATGATCAATGCCATCACACGTGATGATATAAACGGTGTCGTTCGAATAAGAGGGACAAATATTTTTAGAGAAAACAGTGACAAATAATATATATAATAACGTTAATGTTAGGAATTTTAACTAAAAACTAATTGTTCATATGAATAGATTATTGATGATTTATGTCACCTACTTATTGGATTAGAGCACATTTTAGTTCAGATGTGAGATTTCTAACACCTATTTTCGATATGATAGTTCTTCTAGTACCATTTCGAGATGACACTTTTTGGGTCAAGAACGTAACACACTCTATTTGGACTAATTAATAATCTAGGGTTTAGATGATATCGTGATTGATGAATGTACTTTATAAAAAGAAATCTAGAGGCTTTGATATCATGTTAAGTTATATAGGTTTCTAAATTTAAATTAATTAGTATGAGTACATATATCCAAAGAAATATGAAAAAAGAAAAAAAAAGAAGAAGAGGAGTTGAAGAGGGTGATTAAGTACGTACCGGTGGAAGAAGAGAGTAGTCCTTGGAGAGGAGGGGTAAAAGAGGAATTGGATGGGTAAACGAGGAAAGAAGGAGAAGAAAACCGTTGATGATGTTGTTGAGGATTATATGGTTGAGGAAGATGATGATGATGATGTTGGTATGGTACTCTAGGAGCTTGAAGAGAATAGCCATAATAGTATGGAGAAGGCATGATAGTTCCTGATGATGATGGTGATGTTGCTCCTCCTCCATAAAGCTGCTGTTGCTGCTGATAGTATTGTGCTTGTTGCAACTGTGTGTTGTACAGTGCCTGTTGCATGTATATGATCATCATCATCATAGTCGATGTCTATGATTACAACAAACATGCATGTGCTAGTGTTTTTCATGCATTATGTAAGTGGTCGACATGTGCAAGATACGTTGTACGTAAAATCTATTATTAATTTCATATCTTTATGATTAAATTCATGATTAAATTCGATTTTGCTTTATGTGTTGCGTATGTATATGTCAGTGAGAGGAAGGTGGACTTACTTGGTGGTACCCGAATTGATCAGGGTTATAGGTGTACCTGAAAAAAACGAAGAATTGAATGATTCTCTATTAAAAAAAGAATAGAGATCATTATAATTTTCCTCAGAAAATACAAATTCCACTTCTACTTATTAAATTTGATACATGTTACTATATATAAAAAAAAAAAATTAATAAGAACTTCCTTCTAGTAATTAATACACTCTTGCACGTTAAGGGTTTCTCAAGTTCCATATCCGACTATATAATTCATTGCATGATTTTTTTATCTACATATTACTGTTATCATATTTACAGCCTGACAACAAGTGGCTCGATTGACGCATTAAATTGTCTCCTACCATATCTATCGCAATGGACCATCTCCTTATGCGAAACATTTCTAAGGATTTTAGTTTTTTAATTTTATGAAAATCGATATATAAGAGCTTACCCGTAGGACGGATACATGAGCTGGGGAGCTGCAGCCGGTGGCAGTGGTGCAGCCATCCCGGTATAACCTGATGGTCCTCCACTTTGGTACTGACTCGGACTTCCTGTTTGTCCTCGACCTACAACCAATTAGTAAACAAAAGCATTGAAAAAGAGAGTACATTGCTAAACAAAACAAAAACATTTATCGTCGAGTAAATTGATAATTTAGGTCTCAAAAACTAGTAATTCCACGGTATTTTTTTTTTTTAAGAAAAATGCATGTTTGTATTCTTTTGACCCCAAAAAAATGTTCGCATTCTCAAAATTGGATTTGATTGGTTATATTTATGTTGTACACTACGCACATAACAATGTACTTATTCTAATTTCAACGAGTACAACTAATCTCGTTTATTATGTTCTATACGATCAAATATCTTTATATTAACAACAACAAAAAAAAGACAAAAAAAAAAAAAAACAGACAATTCTTGATAACGTACCAAACCATTAATATATCGTGATCATATAAAAACTCATCAAATAAACTAATCCTCCAAAATTATGTACATAAAGAAAGACTTTACGGAATTACTCAAGTTTAAGAAACAAACCTCGAGGCGGCGATGGTCGAGGCCGTCCAAAAGACGCAATATTACAATTGGCTTTTCTTCCGTCGATCACCGGATTTGGATCAGCGACGGCTCTCGTGGCTGAATCCGCCTCCCGAAACGTCACCTATATTAAGAATCGGAGCAATCCAACGAACAAACCCTTAATCATACCAAAGAGATAGAGACATTGTGTGAATGAAGAAAAAGAAAAAGAACTTACGAATCCATAGCCTTTAGATTTGCCGGTGTTTTTATCGGTAATGATGACGGCTTCAAGAATCTCTCCGAACTGATCGAAGTAACGACGCATTTCGTCGGTAGGAGTTTCCCATGCTAATCCTCCAACGAACACTTTGGTGTAAGTCGTGTCTCCGAACGGTGATCGATAATAGCTCGTTTGAGACATTTTATTTAATGAATATCACGATTAACAAATATGGAAGTCTTCCGATGATGATGATGATATAAAAACCCCAAAAACAGATAAAATTGAATAAATAAATAATTATGGAAAAATGTGCTTGTCTAAAACATTAGGGGAAAAAAAAGAGATTTGGAATGGACAAAGTTGGCTGATCTTTATATCATCAAAGGTTGTTTTTGGTTGGGCAAAGAGAAGAGAGACCAATCAAAAGGTTGCAAATTGCAACCCTTGAAACGGCGTCGTATTGTCTTCGACCCTACACATACGTAGATAGAGAGAAGAGAGAAGAGAGAGAGAGAGAGAAAGAAGATTGTTTTGGGACATTAGAATTGAGATTGGAGGGTTTTGTAAGAAGGAGAAGGAGAGAGAGAGAGTGTGACAAGGCAGCACTTGAGTATGTCTTCGCTGTCTAATTTGCCAGGTTTTAACATTATATCTCCTCCGCAACTTTTATTTCAGAAATCTTCTTTTTAATTATAACGACGTTCTTCTGGTGTATTTAATATTTTTATGTAATATGCAGATTTAATTCTTTCTTAACTGTATACCATATCTTAAATACTTAAGGTACATACTTACCAGATGTCATGTAGTGTGATTAGTTTTTGTTAATTTTTAATTTGTATAACCAATGGTAGATTTTAATAATACTCATTTTTGGATGTTATTAGAAATAAACTTATAATGTTAATACTGAATCTTACACTATTCAATCCAATAGAAAAATTATATGTGTCGTTATTAGAAAGTTATTGATACTTTGATGTTTCTATTTGTGTAGAACTTTTAGGTTATCGAAGGAAAAATATATTAAAATTCTTGTAGTACTTTAAAAAATATGCAGATTTTGTCAAAACTACAGTTGTTTGATAAGTTCTATATTTTGTTTTATCATTTCCCATGTTCTCTTTTGAGTTGGTCTCTTGTTCTCTTCCTCCTGCTTGTCTCTGTAGGTTTCGTGTGATACATATATATACCAATAATAGTTTGATTTCTTTTCACATGAAATTAATATATAGTTTTCAATATTAATTTAAATGCATATATGTATATATTTTTCTATTGAATAATGGAACTTATTCCTTATTCTCACATGCTAACATGTACTTAACCTTCCTTTAATCATTAGCTTACTGGAAAGCTATGAACGGACGAAAAAAAGAACAGTCTGGATTTTAGAATTACATTCTTTTTGTTATTTTTATTTTTCATAGTTTATATAATCTGAATTCGAAGATTTAATTTTGAATAATTATGGGCATAATTTCGTGATCCCATAATCTGATTAGGTTATATTATCATAAAGAAGGACATGTATAGCTAACTGACAACCCGATCTTAATATTATACAAACTCAATAATATTGTCAAAACGATGTAAAGTGTGTTTGTGTGAAATATCAAGTATTTATTTAGTGATTAAGCCAAACAGATTTTGTGATGAGTTTTCATGATTAGTGGAAGTCCATTATTCTTCCCACCAAACCATATTGGAAAATTTTTTAATCAGAATATTGACGAAGAGGCTCTTGACTTTCGGATAGATCCCTTTAAAGATTTCTCATCCTCCATATTTACAACTATGAAACTATAATTATATTGATCATGTAGTCATGTTGAATCAGCCATAATATTTAGTGTCTAGTGCAATTTTTTAATATTTAAATATTATAATATATATATATATATATATATATGGTCCTTTTTAATTAAATGCATTATATATATGGCTTCAAGCCACGTTAGTTGGTGAATCCAGTTATGAGAGTATAAGACGACTATAACTAAACTAGTATTCTCTCTACCATCTATGATTATCGCCAGGAAATTATATGATTAGTTTATAAATTTAAACGTACATATATGAAATGTTTAGGGATTATTATCTAAAAAACCATTTTTGCTCAACCATTTTTCAGAATTGCCATTTTCTCAACATTTTTTCAAATTTGCCATTTTTGCCATTTTTAAAAACTAAACATTTGGATAAATAATTTCATAAAACATATATTTTATAACAAAAACTATACCCTACAAAAAACTGGAACCTAATAAACCCAAGTATTATGTGTAAATTTGTGTTTTTGTATATAAGAAAATGGCAATTTTGAAAGTTTTTTGATAAAATGGCAAATTCTATAAAAGCCATCAAAATAAGTCCTTTATTCGTAATTGATTCGAAATGTTTAGCATTGTTGTTAATATTTTTTCTAATTTGTTTGTTGTTAGTGATCTAAATATTGTACGTATGCTAATTAAGTCCTTCACATATATATATAGCTAAAGTGGCATTGCCAATTTTCCATTCTTTTAATGTCTTAAATGTACACTATTGTTCTAAATAACAATACTTTGACTTGTAAGATAACTCAGAAATGAAACGACACACACAAAACCTTGCCGTTTCCATGTTCGTCACACAATGAAGACATGATATCGTCATTACAAAAATAATATATGCAGAACTATTTTTACATTCATACCAAAAAAAATGAGTAAATTTGGAAAAATGCCCTATTTATGAGTTTTTGTTTGAAAAATACCCTATCTTTGTTTTTCTTCTAAAAACTATGTTTTAATATATTAAATTACTAAAACAGCTTCAATAAATAATAATTAAAAATAATTTACACGTAAAACAGAAAATTTATTAATTTAGTTTTCAAATTAAAATTTGAAGTAACTAACAATTTTGAAGATAATTTTTATTTTAAGTTTTTTTTTAAACAATATAAAAATAATTGTGAATTAGTGAATTCACGTTCCTATGTTTGATTAAACTTTAATAGTTCATTATTACTTACAAAATCTCTTGACTAACATTACTTTTATTAGATTTCCATTGGTTTTTGGGTACTCCATCTCTAATCAATAACACAAGTAAATAAAACAAATAATATTATGTTAACGCTATAAGTCGTACATTGATCTAATCAATAACACATATATACTACAGCATTCTACCGATGTTAAATCGTAATCTACGTTAATCTTACAATTGGACAGATTTTGGAGTTGAAGAATTGGCTTGTTACGTTGAGATTTTTTTGTTTATATAACATGAAACTATAAAGGGATAAACTTTATAATATTTTTAGATATCATATTGTTAGATTTAATATAGAAATTAAATAGATTATCTTTATCTAAAAAAATAATTATAAGAATAATTAATATTATTTCGAATTTATTTTGTTTTTTCTCTCAATTTTTAATTTAGTTTTGATTTTACTAAAAATACACCTTTAATTTAAATATGGACAAAATTATTATTTTACATATAAAAAATTATAATTTTCATTAGAAATAGAAAAGGGGTATTTTTCAAACAAAAAAAGTAGGGCAGTTTTCAAACTGACCCAAAAAAAAATATGCAGAACTATAACAACATTTGACGCCGTCACAAGAAATATAAAACCTATAAAAACATTAAATATCTCTTTTAGTCGAATATCCTAGACCCCAAATTATGTTGAAATAGCTAAAAAGAAGCATTCGTCCACGAACCATATGCCTACCGACGCTTTCGATTAACATATCCATTATTGAATTGTCTAAAATATCTTGCTCTTCAAAATGGCACCATTCTATATGCGCTCAAATTTATATGACTGTGCATGTGCTTATATGTGTGTAGTTGAATATGAAGATAAAAGGTATATATATACATGAGATGGGCTCACTGCAGAGCAGCTTTCATAGACGCACGACCATCCTTATTCCTCATCATCATTTTTAATCCCCTTTTTCACTTCCCTTTTTCTCACAAGTTGTATTTTTAATTTTATCCATAGATATTATACAAAATCAATATTTATAATCTGCATCAAATCCCTTTCATTGGTGTAAATGTAATTGTTTCCTATTTACAAACAAAAAACATTTAAAAGTAGAAATTGTAGTGGATATTCAACGAAATAACATTCGATCACAAAGTATAAAGGCTTGAAAAGGTTTTAAAAAATATCTATGAAACAACAAGCTAATAATATCTTGCTTAAATGTTTTTTTACAAAAAATAAAAATATCTTGCACAAATGTGTAGCAACAATTATCCATGCCTACTTATTCAAATAATGTCCAAAAAGACAAATAATTAAAAAAAAATTCTTAAGAAATAGGCATTTGAAGTCCAAGACATTTGATTTATGATTTATCCATTTAAAACTTTGTTTAAACCCAAAGAAAACTGTTTTATAGCTATACTTTAATTAAATAGGCCCAAACAACCAACTATACTTTAATCAAATATAATAGACTTTTGAAGTCTTTGAAAATTTTCAAAAATGCAAATAAATATTGTTGTTTGGAAAAAGAATTTAGTTTGATAAAGAACAAAATATGGAGACAAGTAAAGCAAAGTGAGGGGCCAGGAAACGTGGCAAAGAGAAGAGACAGTTGGAAGGAAAAAAATGGGAAAGAGATTCCAGTGAACTGTCTCAACTCCTTCCACGTGGACTTCCTGTCATGCTTAACTGCTTTCAAATATGTTGTCTCAATAGTGAATAATACAATTACAAATTTACAATAAAGTCATCGATTAGTAATTAAGAACCAACTGGTCTTTATCGGCTTATAACCTCAATTGTAACGTTTTGGTCTAGTTTATAATCTTACAAATTATTTCAGTTTTCTTTGGTTGAGTATTGTCCATTTGAGAAGCACAAATCAGATACTGATTAAAAATCATTTTTAAATACTGATAATTCATCTCGTGTATACATATCTATTGCTTAACAAAAAAAAAAACAATAAAAAAAAAACACTTTGACAGGAATTATATATACAAAGGTCGTATATAGTCATCCGGGGTGGTGGCGCAGTTGGCTAGCGCGTAGGTCTCATAGCTACTGAGTAATCCTGAGGTCGAGAGTTCGAGCCTCTCTCACCCCATTTCCTTTTGTCTCTTCGGAAAAAAAATGTTTTAATACTTTTCTTTTGGAGAAAGCCCAATATAGCCCATGATTTCTCAAAATATACACGAAGGGCCTAAACGAAACCATTTAGGCATTTACTATATTTTCAAAATTGGGCCACTAGAAAGCTCGAAGTTTTTTTTTCTTCATAAATGAGGAAATGGCTCGTTTGTACCAAAAAAAAAAAGAGGAAATGGCTCATCCAGTCATGTCATGGTCATGAATGCGTCACTAAGCAATTATTCGAGAGAAATAAGTTAGTACAATATTAAAAAAAAAAAAAAGGATTAAAGCATGAGGATATTGGTACCCATCTAAATCACTTGTAAACTCCACATCCATATATATCACTCATGACTCAACGATATGTCTCACACTACAAGAAAACATAGCAATTTCCGACGAAATATTTAGTCGGAATTATTCCGACGGATTTCCGGGGAATTTCCGACAAACTTCCAAGAAAATAATATTTCGTCGGAAATTCGTTGGAAACATAAAAACTTTTCCGACGATTAAAAATTCGTCGGAATTTCGTCGGAAATATTTGTCGGAAACCATGGAAAATTCCGACAATCCAATGTCATCGGAAACTGCTTGGAAACTTGTC